ACGAAGAAAAACAGAAATAAAAAACTGTACTTGAGGAAGCTGACGTATAATTTAAAAAAAACAATGCTTTACAACAAGAAAAAATTGTTAAATAAAACTGAGTAAAAAATTGAAAAAAAGCGTTACAAAATTTCAGCAAAAAATTGTCATCCAACATTTCTTAGTGTTACGACTTTGCATTGATTTTGACACCAGTAACATCAAAGTCACTGGTTCATCTTTTACGTTTATTTGCTCAAATATTCCGTAATGCAAACATTAGCACCACTAAAATAACTTCAATTTTCACAACTGAACATTTGATATTATTAGTGGATAGCTAATAACAGTGAAAAATTAGAATCATGTCTTTCTTTGGACACTATATAAGAGTCCTTTTTATGAGTTTTCATAGTTATGTTGAAAATTTAGCAAAATTATACATTCAAGTTTCATAACCCACATCACCTATGCTACTTTTAATCGTTGTAACCAAATCAGGGCAGATAAAAAATTGAATTGCTGTTTTTTTTTTTTCACCACTAATTTTTGTCTGTAGTTTTAACTGAACATCCGAGTTCCACAAATGTTGCAGATAACTCTACATTTCTGTATACGTCCTCAGTTAAAGGTATAAGCAACCATATCGAACTGATGGGGAAAGATGAAGAAGGAATCATCTATCTGCTAAACTGTTGCAGTGGCTAAACGTAGAGGCGACAAATATACAAACAACTACTGTTCAGTTTTTAAATTTAAGTGATTCTAAATAATTTAAAGCTATTGACGACTTATTTTTTACATTCTTATATTTGCAAAATTATTGCTGAGATAAATTCCGAACAAAATCAATAGGTTTGAAAAAAAATAAAAGTCTAGTTTATCAAGTTTAAGGAAGTGGTTATTGAGAAGACACCGTTTCTAGCTTAAACGATAGTGTGTGGTTTTTCGGTGTGAAAACTTTACAGTATAACTGTTGATCCGCCTTCAAACTTTGCTCTTTATTGTTTTTTTTTTTTCTCAGATTTTCTGATTACCATGAAACTGTCAGTCTGTGTTTTAGAGCTCTCACGCAATTTTTTAGCACTTGTAGATATAACAACTAAGCAATGATGAACCACTTATTATGTAGTGTTTATTGATCAGTATTGTCGAAAAAGCACAAAGTGCTAAAGTTATTTACTGTTAAACTAGTATCAAAAAACTAGTGATATTCTAGCGTTGATAGAAAATTTCTTGTAATTTTCATTTCAGTTGACTTTAAAAAGTGCTTGCATAGCTACAAAAGTACCATATTTATAAACAAATTAATGAAAACTATACACCAATGGAGAAACAATTTATAAGTAAAATTTTTCAGCATAATTAAGTTTGAAGAAAACTTACAAAACTCCATTAATATTAACAATAAAATAATCCTCACTGCTTTAATTAAATTACTCCTAAAGGAGTTTGTGCAGCCAGCGCTATGAATATATATAGCACTATTTTAGCCATTACAAGAAATTGAAGAGTCATAAACAATAACAGATGTTTTATGGGATTTGTAATTTGAGACAACTTTTTTACAGATGTATTTACCGTTCATTTTGTAACATTCCAACCAAAACTTTGTCATACTTCTTCGAACTGTTACTGATTAGCCTAAAAAACATACTTTCCCCTGCAACTCTTTGAACAACATGTTATAACGAATAAATTGTAGGTCAGTAACACCGATAAACTGTATTTCAAACCATGATTCAAAACTAGAAGATGCCGTACTGCTTGACTTCTTGTGCTTCAAAAGGATAGCAATGATCGATTGAAGACACTGATCAAGCCATTAACTTGCTCATTCCTTAAAAAAACTAAAAATCCAGCACCTGCGCTAAATATGTTTCGTTAAGACCATTAAAATTGTTGCCTTGAAGCGTCTTCTTGCCTGCTAAGTGACAATATTCTCAGAACAGGAGAACTACCTCACACCATTTCAGCTTCTCTTTTTCTTTTTTTGGAAGGTTCTCTAGCTTCAACCTTTTTTGGAATGACTAATCAGCGTCCTTTACTCCCTTCAAAAGTGTACTGCATCTTCCGTATATAGTTAAAGTGCCACTAAATACTGGTTCTCTGGTCAAACTTTCAAAACTTTAGAGGTCTGCTTTAAACTCCACCAAAGTGAGTTTTTTAACATTATCATCTACACAAACCGATCATACGGTCCGCTCTCAGGCAACGAACTCAGCAAAAAAAATTAATGTGG